GGCGTAAAAAAGGTTGGGGATCACTGTTTTAGAGGGTCGTTGAGGCCACTTGGAGGTTTGTCTGTGGCCTTAGAGTCACCTGAGTAGTGCAGGTGGGGTGTGGAGCCTTCTTTGGAACTGCTGAAACTCCTCGGGTGACCCTGAGGACACAGATAAACTTCCAAGTGGCCTCAACAACTTTCTAAAAAGAACATAAATGACCAGCTATCTGCAATGAATATAAATCCTTCCATTCCTCACCATAGAAGTCAGAGTTCAAGGAGCTTCTTGGACGAGAAGTGAAACATCTTCAAAGAAAAACAAGTCCAGTTTCCTGTTGAAAAAGCACCTTTGAGATAATTTGGTTAGAATTAAGCAAATTTAGGGAGGAAAAAAATATCAATGGCTCCTCAGTAAAATAGCTACTTCTGACCTGCATATTCAAAGGCACTGAGTACTGTTGCTAAGGAACATTAGCAAGGGGAAACTATTGCAGGCATGGCCTTGGGCAAATAGGACAGGTGGTTGTGCTCTCCCACCTTGCTTGTGGGGCCCTCAACTTAGTAACTATGGAGAAACAAGATAGCAATAGCACTTAGACATACACTGCTTCAAAGTACTTTACAGCCTCCCTAAGTGGTTTACAGGGTCAGCATATTGCCTCCAACAATTAGGGTCCTCATTTGCTGAATTATAGCTTGGTGCGCATGGCCTTTCTTGTTTTGGAATCGCTGGAGATTACCAGAGACTAAACTTGCTTTCTCCAGAAGGACTGGAGAATACTCAACTTCTCCAAGTAAGATTGCGAAAATTCAAATGGATGCTGTTGTGTTGATGTGGTTAAAGAGAAAACTTTCCATGCCTAACTGGGTCAGAATCAGACCAAGCTATTGGCTCTTTTGGATACAGAGACAATAACACGATTTTAAGCTTTGTTATTAGCTAAAGTGTAAGATTGAAAGGCGTAACATAAAAAGTGCACATACCAAAGCAAGATAATACCCAACTCTCTTACAGTTGAGATGCCCCCAATGGGTGGCCAATTTTTTCCACAGTAGTGCTAGCTTCCAACAAAAAACACCAACCCCAAGATTTTTTATCAAAACTTGGCACCCTAATTTCATGATCCTGTCACGGGGAGGAGGCTAAAAGACCTGACCTTGACTGGCAGGCCTGTGGCGCTGAGATTACAAAGTCTGAGACTTTCAGAGCAGGAAAAACTTTGAAGCTGTTTGAAGATTCACCTTGTTCAGCAAGCAAGAATGGAAAAACAAACAGGTCAGCTCAGAATGAGCTCTACGCTTCTAGACTTTTCTTAATAGGAAGAAGTCAAAATATGTCTCTAGTTCCTCGCAATAACCACGGTCTTTTGCACTGCCACTACACGAACCTTCGTAGAAGCGTAGTGCCCCTTAGCCAACAAGTCGTCTCCCATAGCTATGCAGGCATTGAAGCTGTCGGTCCGGGCCTCCATCTCGGCCTTGATCCCTTGATGATTCTTGATGACCAGGTCAGCAGCTGACACATCCCTGTATCGAAATGCAAAAGGAAAAAAAAAATGATCACCCGCCTCTGCTCTGGCAAAGACAGCAGGAAAATCAAGACCCCCAAGACATGAGGTCAACTTCTACACATATCATATTTGGAGCCTTGCAAAGAAGGTGGTCGAAAGCATTAAAGAAGCCTGCAATAGTTGCAGACAGGACAAAACGTGATATCTTAATTTAAATCCCAGAAGAAAGGTAGCACAGGGGTCTCTCTTTTCAGCTTGCTACATTCTCTTCTCTTTATACATTTCTTCTTTAAATTGGTACATGTGGTCCTTGAGTGTTTTTTATCAGGGCAACCTGGTCTATCCATATATGGAAAGCATTATGTTCCATCCCATTATTTGGGTAGACCAGGTTGCTCTGATAAAAAACACTTAATCTCTCCCCTGGTATAGTTGATGGAGCTAGGAGAGCTTGTGGCTTAGCGATTAATGCATCTACCTAATATGCAAGTAGCCTGGGTTCAAATCCCAGAAGGGTATGGCTAGCTGATGAGAGGCTTGAAATAGATCTGTACTAGTCTCTTTATTTCTTTGTTGGTAAATATAAATTTAACAAGTGGTCCTTGACTTACACTCATTTATTCAGATACCGCTCAAAGCTGCAAGAGTACCGAAAAGTGACTTATGAAGGTTCCTCGCACTTACAACTGTTGCAGCATCCCTACAGCCACTTGATTAAAATTTGGGCACTTGGCAACTGGCATGGATTTATGACAGTTGTTGTGTTCCAGAGTCAGGTGATTGCCATTTGCTGGCTTACGACAAGTAAAGTCAGTGGGAAAGCCAGATTTGCTTAAAGACTGGGTGACTCACTTAAGAACTGGTGATATTCTGTCCCGATTGTCGTCGTTAAGCCAAGGACTGCCTGTACAGAAATCCAACATTTTTCTGACAATACGCTACCTGGGCTTCTCCTGTGCATCTATCTGAAGGTTGATGTCATCCATCCACAGCAGAAGGTCCCGCACCATGCCGAAAAAGCGGAATTTGTCCACAGTGTCCACAAGGAGTTGGCGACGGTCGCTGCTGCGGCTGAGTAGGTCAGACCAGGCCTCGCTCACCGACTGCTCGTGCTTCCGGATGTCATCAGCCTTTTCCCCAGCATAGGCCTTCTGCAGCCGTGCTGCATCGTCCTGTACCTGTTTTACCTGTGAACAACCAAGGAGGGGACAAGGCTGAGTTCCCATCCACAACCTTGCATGTACTATGTTCCTTCCAAATGCAGATGGCTGGCTCCTAAAAATATTACAACTTGACAAGTGTTTCGACCTTGTGTAGGTAGCCCTCGATTTACAACCACAATTGAGCCCCAAATTTCTGTTGCTGAGACAGTTGTTAACTGAGTTTTGCCCCGTTTTACAACCTTTCTGGCCACAGTTGTTCAGTAAAATCCCTGCAGTTGTTAAGTTAGTCACACCGTTGTTAAGTGAATCTGGTTTCACCATTGACTTTGCTTGCCAGAAGGTCGCCAAAGGGGATCACGTGACCCTGGGGAACACGGCAACCATCATAAATTTGAGTTGCCAAGCGTCTGAATTTGGATCACATGATCCTGGGGATGCTGGAACGGTCCTAAGTATGAAAAAATGGCCACAAGTTGCTTTTTTCAGTGCTGTTGTTAACTTCAAATGGACACTAAATGAACTGTTGTAAATCGAGGACTCCCTATAATCTGGGCTCTCTGGTTTTTGATTTGGTTTCATTTTGAGCCTGGTTTCATCGTGCCTGCTGCAGTCGGGGGATTGGGTCACTGTCAGAACTTTGAAACCAGGTCACAAGGAACTCTGAACCGTCACTAAGCAACCGGTTGCAGGTCGAGAACGACCTGTATACTGTTTGGACCATTTCTGAATCTTATTCATCTCGGCCACACATACCTGTGCGCTCAAGGCCTGAATGTCATGTTCGTAGGCTGTGTGCATCCGCTGCAGGGCTTCAGCCGTGTTGAGGTCCCGCCCTGCTTCGTCCGGGAGCTGCTTCTGTTTGTTCTGAACCTGGCTGAGAGTCTCCCGGGCATCGTGGTAGAAGCGGTGTAACTCATAAGAAGCTGCCAACATCTGGCTTCTGGTGTCAATGAGTTCCAGGAGATCTGCCCAGGCCTCGTTCAAGCTGTCCTTCCACTCCGCAATGGTGGCATTTTCAGAATGGCCAGTGGAGATCATCTCGTCCGCCAGCCGGTTGACACTGTCCACTCTCTCCTGACCAATGGTGCTGGTGTCCCGTGAGAATTCCCGGAACTTGTCCCGCAGCATCTGTAGAGAAGGATGGGGCACACCATAAAGGACGCGGTGGTTAAAGCCACCCAGAGTAATGACAGCTTGAAAGGAGTGGAGAAAGAATGGCAGTGGGACCACTTCTATTTGAAGAACAAAGAAGCAGATAAAGGGAAATATAGTGCCCACTTCATCTCCCAGAATCCATAATAAGCCTGGCCACTGAAAACAAATTGGGGAGTTGAAGCCTACCCCACCTAGAGCAGTGGTTCTCAACCTGGCCAACTTCAAGATGGATGGACCTCAACATGTTGGCTGGGGAGTTCTGGAAGTCAAAGTCCACCCATCTTAAAATATGCTGGCTGGGGAATTCTGGGAGTTG